CACTTTTAGAAACCCCAAACTAATAAAATTGGAATAAATATTAAATTTTGTATCTCAATGTGATAGATTATTTTTTAACCTTCAGTGTGATGGACCATATAAATGAGATGGTTTGTGTGTGGTTTAGTTGGATGTTTTGACATTTTCCTTTGGTGGGGTAGGGGCGTTAAAATAGGTCAGGGAAAAGCCCTGGGCCAGTGGTGGATTTTGGCCTAGAGTGTTAAATCCAAAAATACAATTTAAATTCTTGGATAATTGTAATGACACACGAATATTTATAAATGTGGGGCATCATGGTGGAATCAGGCGCCTGTCAAAATAATGAAATCGACAGTAATTCCAGCCGCTAGGCAATTTTTATCGATTGTTTTTTCTTTGGACTCGACAACACTTTTTATTTTCATTATTAAGCATCACATTTCTGTGTGAATTTTACTTTAAAACTTTGATCAAAGGGGCAAAAAGTATAAATTTGCAGTTTTGAAGGACACTAAGCTTTAATGGAAGCACCAGAATTTTGTGGCCATTTCCTCGTAATATAATAAACCTCTGATACAAGCAATGGCTTCCTTCAGTCACATGTCACAACTTTTATTCAAGTTTGATGGATTTTTTTTTTTCTTCGAAAGTAGTTGGCCCCCTATTGGCCTACTGGTAAACAGGCTTTAACATTATACCAAAAACTCTATATACAAAAAATGACGAGCGTCTAATACTTCATCATGTTTCGACACATAAATTCTTAAATAACTGAATATATTATTTTAAGAGAATGTTTTCTGTACTACCGTGAACTGAAGTAACTACAAATTATATAATGCACAGCTGGTGCATACAAGGACATTTTTTTTGTGGAAGCACTTCATGTATAAAATTATGTGGAAAGTTATGTATAATGGTCTGACATGTTTGCATGTGGTTTATTGTTTCATATTCTGAATCATATTCATGCTAGTGGTTGAGATATATTCTCACTTTCACTTGTGCTTGTAAACATCTGCGTCGTGTTTCACCAATGAGAAGTACACTAACAATGAAAGAAAATGAGAGAAGGGTCTTTTGTTTTAATAATATTTTATTCGGCGATAGTTACTTCTCTTACAGTTTACCTGAATTTTAAAGTTTGTGACATGTTGTGACTTTTGGTATTTAGGAGTCTTGCCCCATGTTTGATTGTTTCTCAGCTGCAAAACCGGCGGTGCTGGATTAGTTGAAGGTATCTGCTGTGCTAGAGCAGTCTACCGTAAGTCTTGGCCCTTCAACCATAGTCTACTATGATTTAGGCGACCTTGTGCAGGTTGCCTGATTGGCTACGGTAATGATAGGGCTTGGGGCATACAAACCAATTCAATGGCAGTGGTGTTATTCAATGGCAGTGTGTGGGTGAGTGGATAGCTAGCTTCCTTTTGTAGGTCATTTTTGCGACAGCAAGTCACCTCATGGAACTATTTACAAGAAATCAGGTGGATTTTTCATTCCCCCTCCCCCCGCTCTCCACACACACTCATATTTTTACATACACACACACGACAACCTCCTGCTCACCTCTCCACCACACACTCACCCCCCACCCAACTAACTGCAAACAACCAAACATTTTAAATTATTACTAGTGACAGTCCCAACCGGTATATATAAATGCAAAGCAATTTAATGTAAACCAAACCTGTGTAAAGTGGTAGACCTTTGAACAACTAAACCAGTTGTCAGACCAGTCAGTTAATAGACCGTTAGCTGAAGTAGAAACGTCAGGGTACGCCTGAAACAAAACCAGCACCAGACCTTCTATTTGCTGCAACATTTAACTTCGCATTTGGTGTATTTTGGTTTTGATCTTCAATTCTCCTAGTGTGAGTGACAGATCATAATCATATCTCTGCTGTGTTTGGAAGTTTAAAAACCCCTTGGTGATCGTTTTTACATTTTATATGACTTTAATAATAATGTATAGCCTATAAAAAGATTCCAAAGATTCTGTTAGGGAATCCTGAAAAAGACAGCATAGTGCATCTTACGTTCATGAGATAAATTGGTCATAATGATGTAATGTTTTGCTAGTCCTATATTATGACTTTGTGCTCTGACCTCACAGACTGAGCTGCTGTAAATGAAAGTGTTTTTGCCATAATGTTTCGTTCATCGTAATGTTTCCTCATCATCAAAATCCTGTTTATTAAGAAAAACATCAGCTACAGCCTCAGCAACTGCTCAAAAAGAGTTTATATCAGCTCATGTCAATACATTTTGGCAACCAGACAGAGGTCAAAGGGCACCCAGCCAAAGACTGAGATGCAGGACAGAGTGGAATGACTGAGAGGAAATATAATATGTTTAAGAAAAGTTCCAACCCCATACACGGTCGCTTTTAAGGACAAGCGGGCTAACCCAGATTTCGGGGGTTTCCAGAAATCTTGACCCATATCAAAAGTGGGCATTGCCCTACCTAGGCTATAGGAGAAGTTTGGTGTCATTGCTGTGTATATATATTTGATTGGTTATAGAGAAAACTCTCCTTGTCTTTTAAAGAAACTGAAAAAGGGGCCCAAAATTTTACTTTTCATTTTCTCAAAACAGCATTTTTCGGGAAAACTCTCCTTGTCTTTTAAAGTAACTGAACAATTAAGGTTCCAAAAATTTTACTTTTGATTTTTCTCAAAACAGCATTTTTCGGGATAGCCCCCTTGTGCTTAAAAGCGACCGCATGTAATAATATATATTCATTACGACTGCCGCCTTCAGTGTCTGATCTGTGGTATTTTTGTACCAAGACAGATCGGTGCTGTCAGAGATGAGCGAGCTGACTCTATTTTTGGTATAGCACCTTTCTGTGGGATAGTGCGGATCAGAGAACAATTGATTATTTATTAAGGGCTGACACGAACTTCTTGACATCGTTCAAGAGGATCACAGTAACAACAGCATGGTCGAACTACTGGGTGATAGTGGTACTCTTTCTGCGGCCTTTCTACTGCTACTGCTTGGCTCCTTCTTACTGCTGTCTTTCAGACGCATCCTTGATCTTAGGGTAGGTTAGATCTAACCTATGGCCCTTTCGGAAAAGGGCGAAAAATCTCGGAGGTCCTGTGTGCAAAGTGAGCGCGTTAAAGATCCATTGGTGGTCCAAAATCGATACGTCGTAGGCTCCGGCCGCCACCCGGGCAAAATTCCAAATTAATTCTTACTAACTGAAAATGTTTAAAGAGTCTCACACGCTCATATGACCTAATGCTGTTGCGAGCGCCGTAAAACACTTACCAAAACAAAACAAACGATATTGGTGTTATCATGTAACGGGACAAGAAACCTGCTCAATGCATCGGACAGAGCGTGAATACATATTCTTAGTTGTAGTAGTAGTAGCAGCAGCAGCAGCTGTGCATTATTATTATTATTATTATTATTATTATTATTATTATTGTGTCGGCTGATTCCCATGAAGGGCTGAGTGCACTTATCGTGGGTTTCCTGATTTCAAGGAGCCTACGAGGGAGACCGGCCTCTCACAACAGCGCGATAATCAGCGGCGTGG